TGTGTGCGATGACTTGGAAGCGTTTGCGGCAATGCATTGTAACCTCGCGGGCCTCGGAGGCGTTCCAATCCTACCGAAACACCATTTGTTTCGACATCTCACCGACATGATACGGGTAAAAGGTTCACCTCACTACTACCACACGTACATTGATGAGGGAATGAATGGCGTGGTCGCGTCCATAGCTGCCTCGACGCACAGGGCGCGGTTCGAAAGAATGGTGTTTCGAAAGTGGGGGTACCTTGCGAGAGGCCCGCGGGATCAGAATAGGGAGTGGGGGGGGGGGAGGGCGGCAAACGGCAGGCGCGAGGGGGGGGCAACCTGAGCAGGAGGGGTGAAACAATTGACAATTGCAAGTTTCTGGGGAGAGCACGCCCCCGAGAATGCCACCCCAATCATCAGTAACGCTGTAGAGCAACACGAAACAATAGTAGTCCATGTTTTTGGGATCGAGACCCCCATCGACCAGCACGCAGTAGTTCGAGCTCCCACTTTGGAGTGGCCTGGCCAACGATGGAGGCAGCTGCGTCGCGCAAGAGCCCACGACAGGCCAGCGCGGGCCAGACCTTGATAAGCCCCTTCCCAGCCCCGCCCCATGCATGACCCCTGTTCTCCACCTACTGGGATCGAAACCGACGTTGCACCTCTCTCTCCTTCTCCCCATTGTCCTTCAACTGCGCCGCCCTGTATGCACCCCCGCCCCCTGGCCCAGCAACGCCCCCCCCCTGTGCCGCGCGCCACCCCCCGCCTCCCGCCCCCAGAGTTCGGCCCCACTGGATGTTCTTAGTCGAAGCAGTTGAAGCCCCACCTCGGGGCCATTCGAGCGCTCGAGTGTCGCAGCTCACCCCCTGCAGGTCCCAAAGCAGTTAAAGGCCGTTCGTCAGCTTTTTGACCCTGCCGCACGCGCTCGCGGCAGCTATGCGCAAGGTGGGAGAGGGCAGTGCTCCTCCCTCAGCAATCCTCTCTGCCGCGGGTGTTGTTGACGTCGCTCAGTTCATCGTGGTTCGTCGGCCGATTGCTAGATTTGTTGCAACGCGCGCTCGGGTGCGCATTGACTCGTTGGGTGCTCTCATTCTTGTCCGCGGCCAGGGCAGCGCGCGTAGTAAGGACAAACTACGTTTTCAAGGGTGCCCTTGGGTCCTTGCCTGCCTCAGCCTCTGCGGCCCGCCCTAGCAATTTTCGCAAGCCAGTTTCTCAGGTTCCCTGGGGGTGGCCGCCTGCCGCCCAGAATACTTCAACTTCTGCCTCCAAGGGTCTTGCGCCCTTACCACGCGTCCTTACTAGAAGTTTGCCGTGGCGGGCTTGTTTTCCACAGCCACCACCATGCATTGGACGGGTGAAGGAGGTGTAGGCTGAGGGGGAAGAGGAAGAGAGTGGCCCCATTCCCCCTCCTACTTATGGTGATGGCGGTGGAAACGAAGCTCACACATCCATCACCCCCCTCTCTGCAATCCTTGTGTCTTGCGGGACTGCGTTGATACCTGTGCGGTTCTGCTGGTTCAGAATGCTTTTTTTGCGGCAGTGGGGAGGTGGCAACCTCGGGGTCCCTGACGAGATCAAGGGCTATGCGGTTCTAATGAGAGAGTGCAGCGGGGGGGACATGACGCCGCTGCAGCAGCTGGAGGCGGTGACGGACTTCGTCAACAGCCACATGAATTCTGTATCTAGAGATTTGGACGCTTTTGAAGTGTTCTCCTAAGTGTGCCCGATCGCACAGCAAGGAAGTGGGGTGGATGATGGAGGAAACTGCAGGTAGAGTGGGATGACGTGGGCGGGTGGCGCCACATGGGGGGGGGGCATTTCTTCGAGCATCGTTCTCCCAGCCGCCTGGCCTCACCTCTGTGCAAGCGGCAAAGTGGTCGCATCATTCTGAGTATGTTCTCACGTTGGTGGCTCGGCGTCGAACGCCCGCTGGCCGCCTTTGGCGAACGGTTGCATGTTTGGCAAGCACGTTTGTGATTGAGGAAGCATTGGTAGGAATGTGATCCGACGCGATCGATCCGACATGCGAGCTACGTGCCATCGAATTTATATATATATAAAAAAAAAAAAAAAAACGAGCTCAAACTAAGGTTTGCTCAGGGTGTGGTCTGCAATCCAAAGTATTTCGGGAGGCAGGCGAGACCGCCACATCGAGGAGGATCTTACCAGCCTCGAGGGCCAACTGCATGCTAGTTTCACAGTGCTGCGCCTGAAGGAAGGCGGTCTACTTACTATTGCGGTGGCCAGCCGCCGGGGGCGCAGTCGGGAGCGATTTGCCAGCGGGATATTGGAGTGGGCTGACGTTGTCCAAGCAAGCGGGGTGAGCAGAGAGGAGGAAGTTGTTTCTGTTGGTTGGTACGTCCTCCTTCTCCTCCCCTGCCCTGCCCTTCCTCACCCCCATCCTCCTCTTCCCCCTCCTCCTCCTCCTCCTCCTCCTCCCCCTCGTCCTCATCCCCCGCATCCTCCTCCAACACGCCCCTCCACATCGACCTTTTCCCCCTCCTCGCCGCGCAACTCTTCCGCGCCCATCTGGCACCCCAGTCGCCCCGCCGACCCCCCGCAGTTGGAGTGCCGCAGCTGGCTTCGCTTCATCAACGCCACGGGGCACAAGCGGGGCGTGCGCAATATTTTCGGCGATGAGGAGCGATGGGGCAGAGCATGCGAGCAACGCAGCAGAGGGTGCGCCCAGACGACGGCGCGCGCCAAGTAGGATGAGGGGAAGGAGGCGGGACGGAATCATGGCAGGGGTGGAAGATAAAATGATAACCGTTGAACAAACATCAGAGAAGGAGCAGGGGTGGAAAAGGACAGGGATGATGATGGGCACAACGCACAGGGAACCATGGACGGCGCGCAGCACTGATGATTGCAAGCCGCTGCGTAGCAATTGGGGGTGCGTTCGATTCGGGGCCCGATGAAGGGATGACTAGCAAGGCAGACATGATAAACGGGACGGGCGCGCCATCGGCGAGCAAGGGATGGATGATGGCGGTGCTGGTGAAGGTGGTGGTGATGGTGGTGGTGGTGGAGATGATGATGGTGATGACGATGTCAACGATGATGGCGGCCATGATGATGCTGCTGCTGGTGATGGTGGTGATGAATATGATGATGATAGTGATGGTGATGATGATGATGCCGATACCGATGGTGATGCCACTGGTGATGATTGTCATGGCGAAGGTGTTGGTGGTGATGATGATGCTGAGGATGATGAAGGTGGTGATGGTGGTGGTGGTGGTGGTGCTGATGATGGTGTTGAAGACGTTGGTGTTGCTACTGATGATGCTAGTGGCATTCGTGGCCATGGTGGTGATGGTGATGCTGCGCATGCTGGTCATGATGATGGCGATGCGGAGGGCGACGGGCTAACGCATGGCACATGTCATTAACGGTAAAAGTGGGCGGCTGAGGATTGCCCGAAGGTCGCGTCCGCGAACGTCCAGCTCCAGTTTGCTGCTTATCTTGCGACTCTGGCGCACGTGAGGCGCGCATGGATATTGATGGAGAAACCGCTTCAGAGCAGGATGGACGAACACCCGACCATGCAGACTGTGATGGCGCTGCTGGGTGCGTCTACGATTCTCACATACATGGGCGCGTTCCAGCCCAGGCCGCTCATCCCGAAAGCGTGCAACCTCATCACTACTTTACCTTCCACTGTTCACAACATGCTGGCGAAGAAACGCCCGATATGCAGCTCCAAGAAGTCGGACAGGGATCGGTTCCACACGGAGATTCGAGGGTGGGTCGTCGGCGGCAAGGGCAGGCGTCGTTTCTCTTGCGGGGCAGGGATGAATAGAGAGGAACGGGGGGGCAGAGGGGTGCCCACCCGCACCCCCGACCTACCTCCGCCATCGTTCCCATTCCCACCTTGGAACCATTCCTGGGAGACAGAGAGAGGGGGGAGCAGAGGGCGCGGAGAAACGATGCCGAAGAGAGCGAGACGGAGGAAGGGGGAGACGAGGAGAACGAGACGGAGGAGCCATGAGAAATTGCAGTGGGGCGTTCAAGGGCAGTGCGGCAAGCACAACATAGGGGAAGCGTCGGGTCTGGTGACGACACCATGGGGAGGAGGGGGTCACTCTGACCCCCTAGCATCGCGAGGCGATGATGTAGGCAGCACTCGGATCCAGCACGTGCGCGCCAGTATCTGCGCGCGTGCGCGCGCAGAACGCACATTGCGATTTGTTTTGCGATCCTCGGGGTTCTGGTCACACTACTGCTCGGCCCCCTACCCCATTGTGCAAGAGCCCATCATCTCCCCCCCCCCCCCGCCTCTCTTCGTGGAGGAGCTGAGTTCCACAGAGCATTATCCGAGGGGATACTGCGAGACCCTGTGGAACGCGTGGAAGACCGCGCAGCAGAAGGCTATATTCATGGACAGAATTAACTTTTTGATGAGCGATGGCCAGATCATGAGGAAGAGGTCGAGGATGGCAGCACTCTTGGAGAAGGACACAGCTGCCGAGAAGCTTGCGCCAAGAAAAGGGCATCGATCGTCATCCAACAACCGCACGCTCCACGAATACGGCAAGGCAGTTCTCCGCTCCATTTGGAAGCCCCCTAGATGGAGTCCGATCGAATAGATGGGGCCGAAGGACAGCGCCGCGTCGCCAATATGCATTGCATATGCATCGGCGATGCGTAGGCGACGTCGGCGATGCATCGGCGGCGCTGGCGCGGGGAATCACTCAACGACGGCCTCTGCTTGACACTTCCTCACACATTGTCCCCCCCCCCGCTCCCCAGAACTTGGAGTTGATAAATGATGGGTCGACCATGCCAAGTCAAGTGTGCCGTTGTCGCATGTTTAATGTAATCGGAGTCTCCTTCTCGGCATACCCTCTGGCATGGTCACAGTATGGTCTTGAGTCCTCTCGGGTGTCTTGTCGCATCACTCCGTCTGGCCCTTTCGCAGATTCCAGCACCTCCGCAGCCATTTGGGCTTAGGTGCTGCCAGGCATTACCTGGCCAGATAGTCACACAAAGTCTACGGTGTGTTTTCTTTGCCCCAGCTGACGGGGCCAGTGATCCACATGGACATGGGCATGGCGTCAAGCAGCGCTAGCCCAGCGAGCGGCGCGCAGCCAGCTATGGCACAACCTGTTGGTGCTACTTGCCATTTGCATGGGTGGGTGGCGTCAGACATTGACACGGGCGTGCTCGAGGTGCACGGAGCAGCTCGCTTGCGATCGATGGGCGTGGAAATCAAGAAGCTCGACATCTTCGAATTACATCGGGAGGACTGGCTCACCCAGGTGCCGAGCCTCATCTTCATGTCCAACCTATGCCCTCCGACGGGCCATAGGGACTACTTGCAGTGGCTTTTGAAGAAGTACTTGCAGTGGAACCCGAACGCATCAGAGCGCAGGATGCACTACGAGGTCATGTGCTTCGAGGCGGTCATCGCACAATGTCCATCTGCGTCTGTTGTGACCATCATGCGGTCGAACGAAGCTCGTCGTGGCGGGGGCACTCCCGTCGTCGAGGCCCAGATGGGGCACGTGCCTGGCTACGTTCCCAAGGAGTGCAACCATGATGCGGGAGACGACCTGAGGCCTCTGGGCGGCGGCGGGACCAACAGAGTGCGCATGAAGCTCCACGGCCCCCTCAGGCCGAACGATTTCATCTCGCCAAACGGTGACGGCAGCATCAACGTAGTTGCGCTGTGTGCTGCAGCCACGGCGAATCGGATGAAGGTGCTGTTCCTTGGCGAGTGGGACGGGTCATTGTCCCTCGGGTGCGCGGTTGGATGCATGTACCACCAGACGCTCGATCGGGAACTGGGTATCGGAATGGTCTTTGATCGGGGCATCGTGCCAAGGCGTTCGTTGAACAACCAGCGCCCATCCACATACAAGGAGTTCTACGAGTACGCGATGCAGTACCGCGCGGTGCAGATCGTCGATGAAGCGGCGCGCATGAATGCTCCTTGGCCTGAGGACTGGGAGGACAGACTCAATCCATACGTCGGCCTCAATACGGCGTGCATGTGGCATTTTGCGCAGGTCTGCACCGACGCTAATGGCCTGTCCTTGGTTTTCAGTGCAGCTCAGAGTTCCATGGGGGCAGGTCCGATCAATCCTTGAGCGCTTTGGGTGGCAACTCAGAATCGACACGTTCTTCATCGGCTGCTGTTCTTAGCATTTTGTATGTTCATTGGCAGCGCTCAGTGCATGATGATGCTCGTGCATGTGCTTTGTTCAGTGTGTCAGGAATATGGCGGCTCGCTCTGGGATTGCCCCAGTGTACATCGCCACAGTTGTAGGTGCACAACGTTTTGTATATTGCAAATAATGAAAAGGTACTTGTCATGCGTGATCAGAGCCTAGTACAGTTTCTGGCTTCTCAGCGTGGTTTCGCAGTGCTTGCCGTGTTTGGAGTGGGTTTCCTTGAGACTTGTGTAAGTGAAGCTCAGTGAAAAGGGCATCGTGATCAACAGTTGTGGTTTGTCGTGCGACGCTGACCAATGCTAACAGCTGTGGTATGCCAGTGCCGTCCTATGTTATGCAATGCTCTGGTGCCGATGCTGGTGCTGATGGGGCGCCCCAGCATCAGCACCAGCATCGGCACCAGCGCCAGCATCAGCTTCATCACGATGATGATGGTAATCAACATCATCATCAGCATCAGCATCATCAGCATCATCATCACCATCGTCATCATCAGCAGCATCACCATCATCATCAGCAGCACCACCATCATCGTCGTCATCAGCATCTTCATCATAATCTTCATCATCATCATCATCATCATCATCATCATCATCATCATCGTCACCCTCCTCCTCCTCCTCTTCCTCCTCCTCTTTCTCCTCCTCATCCTCCTCCTCCTCCGTCTCCTCCTCCTCCTCCTCCTCCTCCTCCTCCTCCTCACCCCCCTCCTCCCATGCCTCCTCCTCCCCCCGTTCCTCCTCCTCCTCCTTCCCCTCCTCCTCCTGTTACTCTTCCTTTTACTCCTCCTTTTACTCCTCGTCCTCCCCCTCGTCCTCCTCCTCTGGGAGAGAGCCTCGAGCACCCCAGGCTGCGTGGGATTGAGGGGGCAGCCCGTATGCAACCAGCCCGCCTGCTGCTTTTCCTCCTCCTCCGCCCCCCCCCCCCCTCCCCATCCCTGTCCCCGTCATCGCCCTCCTCCCCCCCATGTTTTGTCACGGCCAGCGTGGCCGCGTGGCCTGGGCATGGGCGCTCGAGCCCAGCATTTGCATGCAGGCGGATTCGGTATCCGACCAGCCATAACTGGGGGAGCTGTGGTCCTTATATGCCCCGTGGACGAACCCATCGCATCGACGATCTCTCGAGAGGGGTGTCGAAATCGATGGCCCCCCCCAGGGCGTAAACACCGCAGCACTCCCAGTTGTGGCTGGCCTGGGTATGGTGCTCTGATATACATGTATATATACACATGCGTGTGTGTATATATATATATACAACTAACTATTACACATTACTGTCGCCGTTTGTCTATGCAAACATATATATACACAATATATACGTGTTGAACTATGAGTCTACATATGTGCATATATATGCGTATGTATATAATACATAACGCATCTATATCTAAATACATGTATGTATATATATATATACATACATATTTGTGTTATATTTATATATATATTCTCAAGTAAGATGGTTCCGGGATGCGATGATGGTTCCGGAGCTTTCGCTGCTGCCCAAAATGTTCCGGTTCGGAAGTTTGCTCGGGAACCAATCTCCGGTTCCGGAGGACCTCTGGGTCGTCACGGAAGCCTCCGGTTTAGGTTGCGCCCGGGGCCCCCCCGAGCTCGTCACGGAAGCCTCCGGTTTAGGCACAAGTCGGGAAACAAGACAGACGGGCGGAGGTCCTGGGGGGGGGTCGCCACGGAAGCCTCCGGTTTGGGGCGCGCCCAAATCATACCCTACCGCGACGAGCTCCGGGTCCACACTTTCGAAATTTTCATTCGGGGATCCGCCCCGGGCGAGCCCCAAAAGACAGTCGCGCGGCCCCCGCAAGCCGCGCGAGTGCAGTTTGGGCCTCGCTGGGGGGCGGAGGGCAAGGTTTTGTCGCTGGTGCCGCGGGAGTCCAGGCCGGCTGGTCTTTCCCGATCTTCTCCCCGTTACTCCGCCGCCATCCTCTCCTCCTTCCTTACTCCTTCGTGTCTCTCCCTCCCTCGCCGTCCCCTCGCCACTCTTCCCTTGCTCTTCACTTTGGCCTCTCGCCATCTCCCTCTTTCCATTCTGTCCACTTCTCCGCTGTCCTCACAACATCCCCACCTTCTCTGTCTCTCCTCCTTGCCCTCTTTTCCTCCCCCCGCTTTCCTCGCTTTTCCTCGCCCCCTCCCTCCCTAGTGCCCCTTCCCTCCCATCCCTCCCCCCTCGCATTAGCTCCCCTCGCCCGCATCGCCCTTGCCCTCGTTTCTTCCTCTCCTTCCCTGCCTCCGGCATTCCTTCCCTCCCCCGCCCCCCCCGTATCTCTCCTACCTCCTCTGGCTCCCCTCCCGCGCCCCCCTCCCTGTGTGCGTCTTTCGCCCTGTCTCCCTTCCCCCCCTTTCTCCCCCCCCCCCCTCCCCCCTCCCTCCCCCCTTAGTTCCCTCGCCTGGCGACGCGCTGCACAATGCACTCCGCCGCGAGGGCGAGCTGGGCCAGGGGTCGAGGAGGAGGGGGGCGGAGGAGGGGGAAGTTGAGAGAGGGTGGGGAGGGGGGGGGCGAACGGGGGCGGCAGGGGAGGGAAGGATATATAAAATATGTGGACGGGATATCAGGCGGAAATGGAGGGATGGGGGTTAGACGTGTGGTTTGTGCGGCATGTGCTGGCATGTTGCACCCAGGCATACTATTGGTTCCCAGTATTTGCAACTCATTGCCTCAATATGTGCAACGTGCTGTGTTGCGTCTGTGGGGATGCGTGGCCAATGCCTTGAAACGTCCGCAGTCTTTCATGGGGCGCGTGAGCCTGGTCGCGCAGCACGTGCGTACTCATGCGCCTGGCTCGGCACCGGAGCCACACTTGCCAACGCAGACATGGGCGCTCTGCGATAGAGCCAAGCGTGGATCCTATGATATGTCTGTTTGTGCACTTTCGAGGCTCCTGGTATGTAGCGGGCACGCGTTGTCAAAACCCCTCCACAGGAGGACCGTCTCTGTGGGCCATCATTGGCTCGATTCGCCATCCCTGCACGCGCATGCGCACGTCAGGGTGGGCGACGTTTCACTTGCTCGTCCATATACAAAAGCCGTGGTGTTCCCTTGTCGAATTCCCGAAGTAGCGAAACGATTTATTTGTAATTCTGGTGTCGTGAGTGCGCCGATCACTTTTGAGAAATCGTTCAAGGTTTGCCAGGTATGTTGTAAGACTGTTCAAACCCTGGCGGTCGTACTTCACCGCGCGCAAAGCATGCGACTGCTTCGTTGGGATATGTTCGTTTTGGGGGTGGTTGCGTTTTTTTCCCTAGCCGCCCAGGTTCAGCGCGCGTTTCGGCCCACCGACATCACGCGCGCACCTTGGAGCTCTGATTCGCATTAAGAAAGAGTTGCGCTACGCAGCGCAGGGCCGAGGCATGATATTTTGAATGATAAACGCCCGTGCCAGCGAAGACGCGTCGCTCTGGCCGGCCACCGTTGGTCACGCCATTCGAAGGCAGCGCGTGGATTTCATGCGCCGTTGACGTTCCCCGATGACTGTCCTTGGGCCGTGCTCCTTATCTTGCGTCGTTCTTTCTGCCGGCCCGTCGCCGCGACTTCTGCCCGCGCTGGCGCTTTCGTTTGCGTTCGTCCCCGAAGCGCCTGACTGGTGCAGTGGTTTCCAAAACGTCTCGATTTAGTTGTCTCTCCGCATGCCCCTGGGACCGCGACCCGGTCTTGCGAGAGCGACGCTCTCAGGAAAGATCTCATTCGCTCCCTGTGTTTGCGCACTTCCGCCTTCCTTGAAAAAAGGGCATGGTCTGGTAGGGGTCGGTTTGGCCGCCCCTGAGCTCTCTCGCGGCGTCCGCTGGCGCAGCGCGGTCGTCGGCCCGCGCCACTTGCAGAGCGCCGGGGCCCTCCCCAGGAGCGAGTGCCGCGGCGAGCCTCCCGCCCGCGGTCGGCGGCCGCCTGCGCCGCCGCGCGCGCGCCGGTGCTGCGGCCGCGCTGCATCTCAGCGCCTGCTCCGCCCAGCCGCTGCTGGGGGCGGCGCCGCCATCGCGCGCATCTCGCCGTAGCTGACCCTGTAGTCCCCGTCCGCGTCCAGCGCGATGACCATCGCCTCGGCAGTCGCGATGCCCAGGTGGCCGCTCGCGCTGAGCAGTTCGTCGGCGTCGATGTGCTCGTCTCTGTTCAGGCCCCATTCCCCGAACAGCTCTCGCGCTGACAGCTGGGACAGCGCCCTGCCCCTGCCGCGCGAGTCCCCGTTGTCCAAGTCCGCCAAGAACGCTTGCAGCGCTCTGACTTCCAGAACGGCGTCAGCAGCGATGGCGTGGGTGGCCGCGGCGCCGTCGCGCAGGTAGACGTCTGGCGCCGGCCCCGCCGCACGGTCAGCCACTTGCCATCCTCGCTCGCCAGGGCGCGTGACAGCGGCGAGGCTGAAAGCGAGCAACAGCAAAGCCGCCACTGCTGCCCACGGTCCGCCGCTCCCATCGTCCTGTTCGTGCTGCGCATTCTGCTTGGCGTAGGAGTGCTTCCGCTGGTTCGCGCGCTTCTTGTGCGCGCGCCGCTTGGGGGTTGTTTGCGCGGCCCCCCACCGCGCCTGGACCGTCGGCAGGTCGTTGGTGCTCACCTCCGCCTCGTTGATGTGCTGGTGCCTGCCCTGGTCGCCCTTGCAGCTGTCCTCGCCGTAAAGCTCCGGTTCCTTCTCCTTCTCGGCGTTGTCGAGCTCAGGGGTTGTTTGTGCGGCCCCCCACCGCGCCTGGACCTTCGGCAGGTCGTTGAGGCGGTCCTCCGCCTCGTTGTTGTGCTGGAGCCTGCCCTGGTCGCCCTTGCCGCTGTCGTCGTCGTAGGGTTCCTTCACCTTCTCCTTCGCGGTGTCGTCGTGCCCAGGAGTTGTTTGCGCGGCCCCCCACCGCGCCTTGACCATCGGCAGGTCGTCGGTGCTCGCCTCCGCCTCCTTGACGCGCTGGTGCCTGCCCTGGTCGCCC